TATGCCCACATATTCAAGCTGTGTCCACTAGGTTTTATGAGTAACCAACACTAGTATTTTGATTTCCCACTTTGTGATTCTTTTGTCTTGATCTGGGTTGTTTCAAACTTGGCAGAGAGGAAAAAAACTATTAATTATTCCTCCCCACTCAAAAGTGGGGTTGGGCTCAGGAAGAGCAGCCAAGTTGCAACTGCTGCAGGTGGAGTGGGATTGAGCGTCAGCTGAGCATGCCGTGGAGCGCAGGCTGCACACCTGGGGGCTGGGCTGCCTCAACAACTCCAGTTCCAGAATGTTCTGGAAGGGACTCTGGAACCTGCATTTCTAACAACCACTCATGTGATTCTGAGCCTCATTTGAACACCACAGTCACGGGAGATCGGCACAGGCATTGGCATCCGGGCAAGGCTGGAGTCAGGAGGAGTCTCGTGGCAGCCCACAACTGGGGATTTGGTTTGCTCAGGCTGGGTTAATAGTGGGAGAAGCCAGTGGGAGCCTGGGATGCTGAGGGCAGTGCTGGTGTTCTAGGATCCAAAGGGAATCCCTTTCCACCTCCTTAGAGGAAATTAGGGGTGCAGGATGTGGGAAAAGGCAGAGAACACAGATGCTGCGCAGACAGCAGCAACACCCTGGCTTTGCCCTGCACAGTCATCGCGCACCCACGGGTTGTTGCTCTGGGTTCTGGTGCAGAGAACAGGCCAAAAGTTTTCAGAATGATGCTCTGGGATCTGTAGGAATGGGGAATTCTAGATTCAGTTCCTGAGAACTCCTTCTAAGTCTTTACTGATGGCTTGATTCCTTGAGTATCTCTTTTGTGGCTCACCCCGTGTTGGAGTTGAGAGAACATTTAAAAAAAAAAGAACGATGTGACTTTGGAAACAGCCAAAGGGACTTTGTGCCTTGACAATTTGTGTCCTTTCCATGAGAATGTGAGGCTTTCTCAAGGAGTCCCAAAACCTCCAAGAGGTCTTATTTTGATAGAAAGTGACAAGTCTATTGTAAATGGGCTCCTAATCCTGATCTTCAGCTCCTAATTCCCAAACTCCACACTAACAGCTGAACTTTTATTTGTTTTTTCTGTTAACAATTTTTTTTTTTATTAAATTGCCTCAGAAACAGAAGCAAAATGCAGAGAAGAGGCTGTTTCCAGTGCCTCTTTAGCAGACCAGAAGGGGGTGGATGAATACCCAAGGCTCACAGCATCAAAAGACTATGTTGAGAATCATTCTCATGACCATTTAAAACATCCTATCATGGACCTTAGAATAGGTTTGGAAACTCTTATGTCACTGTGTCACTGGTCTCTAGGACCTGCAGGCCATCGACTGGTCACTATGTATCTTTACTGAGCTTCCCCAGGCACTGGCCACTGAAGCTGAGTCACACAGCTCTGCAGACATCCCCAGGCAAGTTCCTCATCCTCTTTTCCAAACTCCCATCCTATTGAATTACTTTTTCCTCTGTGTGTGAGCCCACATTATTTTAAAATAAGTATAAATATTCTTTATTCTTTTGCCCTGTGATTATTGAGAAATACCCAAGGTGTAGCTATAAAATGATGGAACACATTTTTAAATGGGTATATCATCATATATGTGTGTTTATATATGCACACACACATATGAACAACATTCTCCTTCAGTGAGGTGATCTAAAAAGGCTAAAAAGTTCTTCAAAAATGCTACCTTGGAAAAAGCTATTTTTGAAAGTCCTCTTTGGGTACTGACGCTGACATGAAACCCTACATACTCTGTCTCACGAGAGTTTCACCTTGTTTGGACCCAATATTGTGCCAAAAGAAGTTAGCCACCTCCCCTTATTTATTAGATCTTAACCCAAATGATGTCTGAGTATTCATCTGAAGGGACAAAGGATTTTCCCCATATGGAGGGTTTGCAATAGCTCAGCTCTGCACCAGAGCCAGGATGACTCTCCCAGCACCGGCACCCCTGGCCCTGAGCACAGCTTTGCAAATGATGACCCTGAAGCTGCAGTCACTGTCCTTTCACCATGCGAGGTGGGGGCCACTCACAGGACTTCTGAGGTGTGCTATGGAGGCTGGAAAAGCACTTCTCTACTTACACGTGCCCTCATGACTGTACAATTAGAATCCCCAAGCCCAGCACAGTTATAGATGGGAGTTGGTCAGTCTGTTGAGTTGAATTGCCATGCTGGCAACAACATGATGTCTAAATGATTTATTTGTATTTCCAACTCACAGTGCAACTGTCCCAAGGCCCATCTCTTCTTCCTCATGCTGGGGTTTAACTGCAAGGGACTCCGCAGATTCCTGCTCTCACGTGATGTGGACTGGATGGGATAGGGTAGACAGAGTATTTGTTCCATTTATTTGTTCTATGACTACAGAAGAAACATTTCAAAATGTGTACAAAAGGATACTCCTTCCCTCCAGTGGTACATCCCCTGTTCACAGCTGAACAGCAGTAATTTAACATCATCATTGAGGCAGACTGGAAATACGATTGTGATTTCTCATTTACAATCCTGTGCATTCACTTGCCAGAAGGGCAGTTGAAGACCTAACGCTGTACTGGGTACAAACAAATTCAACTTTAACAATCACCACACACAACATTATAAAAAAGTGTATTAGAAAGTATTGGAAACAAGATTGCATATTAAAATCTGGTTACCGTGTTCACAGTGAGTGCCATTGCACCAAAAGTATATGTGCTTCTTTTTTTCCTGATGCCTGAACATCTTAAATAAGTCTAATTTTGGTTTATTTTAAAATAAAAAAAAGAAATAAAAGAGAGAGATCTGGATATTAAATAGAGTTGACCATTCATTATTGCTGGAACTGAAGAATAAGAGAACACACTTGCGTCGTGACTTTGTATTAAATCCAGTTCATCCGGCTTTTGTTTTGGCAAGAAGAGGACGCTACAAGAGTCACAATGCAATCAAAACAGCAGGACAAGAACAAAAGCACAACACGGGGGGGTGGGGGACCCGTAAAATAAACCCACGTCTCAGGTAGCTCTCCTTCTCAATGAAGACTCTAAGATTTTATTATGTGGTTGATTCTAAATTTGAAATGGAACATGCTGGTAACTGAAGCAATTGGTGCTGGGACATGCCCTTTGGTGATAATGCAATGATTTTTAGTGACTCTGGAATTAGGACAATCACACCATCTAGGTACAAATCACAGAAGGAATGTGGGGCAAGGAGCAGAGGTGAGGCTTTCCACCTCCTGGGAATCTGGGATGTCAGGGAGGGAGAGGAATGACATAGTGATTTCTAGCTGTAATAAACAGGTCAGCCTGCTACTGGTGACCTTCCTGTCTCTGGTATTTATTTTAAGCACAATGAGGATGCATGGAATCGAGGCACATGGCAGTACACAGCGGTTCCCAAGACACACACTCACTCATCATACAACAGAACAAAAAGTGTGAAGTCATGCAAAGTCCTATTTTTACCGGCTAGGAGAAAACTTCAGCAACTTTTGGTACATAATATGGCCACCTTTCAAACATAACTTAATTACTTGTTGACATAATATGAAACCTTACTTTAAATACAATAGTCTCAAAGAAAAATGGTGTTACAATATAAAAACACAACCAAAGGTATGTAAATAGACATTATTTGGCTATAAAAGGGGGTGAGAAGAAAGGGCAAAGCATTTTAGAAAAGAATTCCTGGAGCCACTATTTACAGTTCTGGTTTAGGCTTTCTTCGAATGCCACTTAGATAAGTAACTCCCTCAACCAACTGATTCCATGGATGGAGGGAAAGGAACAGGGTAGGTGAAACTTGCTAGCAAACTGGAGACCTACAGAGATGCTCGCGTTGACGATGTTCATGAGGCGGATCTTTCTCTATAGTTGCATATTGAATGAAAGCTGTCCACGGCCCTTGCCCGCCCCCACCCCCTTCACTCTGCACATTGATGTGGCAGAGTGTAAATTTCTACAACTTTGTTTATTCCAGTTTCAAAATGCCACAGAATTCTGCAAAGGCATCTACAACTCAAGAATGGTATTTTTATAAAGTTCATCCCTTCTACAAAACTCAAATGTCCATAAGAAAAATATTTTTGAAGGCTGAAGAGGGAATAATTCATTTATAGAATTTATGATGATTCCAGAGGAGAACAGGTCAGGATTGATATTGCTGGCTGGGAAAATTCAAGTGCTTTTATTTTTGGAAGGCTTCCCAGGCCCTTTGATTGGTTTATAATTCATTCAGATCAGTGGTTCTCCACCAGGAGTGATCTCCCTCCACCAGGGGACAACACCACCTGGGGCTGCTACTATTGTCTGTTGGGAAGCAGCCAGGGATGTTGGTAGGAATCCCAGGGTGTACAGAAGAGATCCCCCCATGATAAACGACTCAGCTCAGCATGTCAACAGTGTTGAGACTAAGAACCCCAGGTTTAGATCACAGGATGAAATAGATGTTTATGTCCAATTTACCTTCTGTTTCTCCATATTTACCTTGGGACAGTTTTCACAAAGACAAGTACCATAAATATTTGAAACTGTATATTCTTCTTTGGTTGAGAGTAAAGACATTAATGATAGGACTGAGGTGGAGGAACACCCTTCCTGCTTGGGGCTAGAATCCCTGCTTGGGCCTCTTAGCGTGGAGAGGCAGAGTTCTCACCTCCAGCACCTCCTGCTCTGTCCCAGGAGACCTGCTGGCACTAGTCTGGATTGGTCAGTTTCTCTGCAAATTCCAATATCCTTCAGCAATAAAGGCTACAGAACCACTCATCCTGTTATGTGTGGACATACACGCGGCTTTGTCTGCTTGGTAAATGGTGTCAACATATTTGAAAGTTTAGCTTCAAACCAGTGAGTTCTGTGTTAGTGATGGAGATACTGGCTTCACATATATCATTGATCTAAAAATTAAGCATCATTCTTAGTCATTTTATGGATTTTAAAACAAGAATAACAGACATTGAGTGTAGGGAAAGAAATTTACTAATGCTAAGAAATCCAAGCCTGTAGCTATAAACATATATAATTAAAATGAGAGCTAGGATTCAGGGCTTGGGTAGAACCAGGCAGGGAAGGAAGAGAGAACCAGCTGCCGTTCATGAGAAACGAGTGTACAATTTGGAATGAAGCTTTGGTTTCTGAGGAATTTTACTGTCTGAGTGGTTCAAAAAGAATTAAGGTCCGAATTTCAGGACTGGTGTTTAAAATGTAGTGATAGACTTTTTTGGCTATTAAAAGCACAGGAATGAAAAAGCAGGAAAACCGGGCTCTCCAGATACATCCCCAGGAAGACTGGATTCATCCCCCCTGGCCACAAGCCTAAGAAGGCCCAGCCTCACTCCAGCGTGCTCCGCAAAGCCTGGGATTCAGGCCCTGACACCCTACTCTTTGCCCAGTGCAGCCCAACAGACACTACTTCCCCAAACAATTTATTTTCCTGCACAGAGTATGACTTGAAATAGTATTTTCTTTCAAAAAGTGCAGGCTTTCTGCTCTAGATGTGTGAGGCCCACTCAGCTGCTGGTCTTGCTGCATCCAGACCACTCAGGCAGTCACACACCTGTCCTGTTTGCGCACCTGCAGGGACACACTTCGGGACACACTTGCTGGATGCACCTGGTGTACAAACTCCTTCCCAGGTTTTTGGCCTGTTTTATATAATTCTCAGAACACTTCTTAGACTAATTATTTAGAGAAGGAGATTCTAGGAAGGAACAGGGCAGGGGTTGTCGCTAGCTCTAAGAGACAGCAGTTCTGGGTGCTCCGGTGTCACCCTGCCGCTACAATAAAAACTTCCTTGTTTCCAAAAGCAAATCAGAACCGCGACCAAGTTAGGAAACAGAAAAAACAAACAAACAAACAAAAAAAATCCCAATAAATGAAAACACAACATCCGCCGGTGCAGCCGGGGGCTGTCGCGGAGGGAGAGGGCGGCGTCCTGTGCCCCCTTAGCTCATGTGGAAGCGGTGCTCCCCCCGCGTTATGTGCGACGAGAACTCGTAGCGGTCCTGGCTGTGGTAGCCGCACATGTTGCACTCAAAAGGGTCGCGGAAGCCGTGGCAGCCCATGTGGATGGTGTACATGACGTGGTCGAGGAAGAGCACGCGGCAGTGTTCGCACTTGTACACCTTCATCTGCTCGCCGCTCATGCTCACCACCCGCAGCGCGTCCTGCGAGCTCTCCGCCGCGCGCAGCAGCTCGTAGGCGCGGTGCTCGTCCTTGAGGGCCAGCCCGTTGCGCGCGTGCGGGTTGATGTGGTTGGTCAGGTAGATGAGGCCTCCGCGCTGCTCCTCCGTGTTGCTCTCGGTGTCCGTGGAGTCTTGGCAGCTGTTGCTCGGGGACGCCTCCCGCTCTGAGGCCACCGACTTGGCCTTGGAGAGCAGCAGCAGGTTCTCCACGGCGCTGTCCTGCGCCCCGTGGTTGGGCCGCGGGGTGCCCTCGGTGGGGGGCTTGTGCAGCTGGTACATGGGACTGATGCCGGGGACCACCTCGGAGCCGCCCGGGGGCGTCTGCACCAGGGGGCGCAGGGACTCGGCCCCCAGGTAGCTGATGGCATTGTTGATGGCTTGGTCCATCACGTGAGACTTCATCATCTCGTTGTCCTTCTCGTAGCTGGCGCTGCTGTCGTAGGCCATGTCCGACATGCACTTGTCCCCTGTGGGAAGCAGGTGACAGTGAGTGAGGCTAGTCACCGTCCAGCCCCACACTGCAACTGCTGATCTGCACCTAGGGAGGGGCAGGCACCGCCTGGGAGGGGGAGGGCACAAGTCTGTCCCGCGGGCACCTGGCCAGGGACGTACCTGCTGGGGACACTTTAAGGAATTTGACCGGATAAATACTTAAAAGAATAGGGGAACCAGAATGCTGGTGCCAATCTAAACAATGCACATTTAAATGGCCAAAAACCAATACTCATGCTTTTTATTAAGGATGCTGTAATTCAACATTATTATCTTTAATTATATTATTTAATTTAACTTTATACTATTTTAAGTTCATTTAACATTTTAAATGATGTATTTCAGTAGAATGTTGTTACAACAAGTGGGTAATTTATCACACATTTATGTAACTAAAATACACAATGTTTATATTATCATTCATAATAATATGCCTTATGGGTATTTAAAATAGTATTATGTGATATAATGTGAAATTAATAATTCAGTAGTCTAGAATAAAATTCAACTGAAATATAGGATGACTGTGTATTTATAATAAAATTACATATTTCTTACAAATAACACAAAGGTAAATGGTCTCTAATTTACAATGAGAATAGAAAGGATACTCAGACTTAAAAAATAGTTCTCTAAAGTTGTTAGCACAGAAACATATGGTAGAAAGTAGGAGGCAAAACAAGGAAGCTACTTATTTTAAAAAGGTATTGATAATGGATGATGTGCAAGAAACTAGGGCTGAGGACCACCCAACAGGGATTGGGGGCTGCCCTCAAGAAACTGAAGATCTGATATCAGTTTGTAGGAGTAGATGAGCTGTCCTCAGGATGCATTAATGACACCAGGCAGGCTTTTTCTGTTTTTGTGTCCAGGTGCTAAATGTCTTTTTACACTAATCCCAGAGAGAATGAACCCATTCTGGTTTGTACCCCAGTCTGTCCTATCAAACCTCAGCAAGCAGAGGAGTGGACTGGACTGTGTGGCTAGATTTGTTGTGTATAGAAGTGTCTATAGCCCCACCCAAAATGGTGCTTCCCCTCATCATCATCCTGTCTCTTCCTAAAGTCATGGTTTAGTGGCTTCCCAAGCAACCACTGAAATCTGTTGTTTTCAAAACTTGCTATCAACACATTAAATATAGAAAAAAAATCAACATATATTCCAGATTCGCATGGCATATGGAAACTGCCCATGGAATTTCTCTTGGCCCCAAAATGAGAAAAATAAAAAACCTATAAAATTCACCAAGAGCCATCACATAAGTGAAGGAATATATCCTAATGAAATATACACACACACTGTCTCCAAGACAGGAAAGAAACAGAAAATTCTGGCATGAGATGTACGGCAAAGCTTGACTGCTATTCTTGCCTCTAGGAAACTTTGGTATGAATGATCCACATCCTCATCATTTCCCCCAATATCCTCATATCTCTAGAGCAGGTGTCCTCAAACTACGGCCTGCGGGCCACATGCTGCCCGTCCTGCTTAGCAGCCGACTCGTCCCAGGGCCCACAGTCCAGCCCTCTAACGGTCTGAGGGACGGTGAACTAGCCCCCTGTTTAAAAAGTTTGAGGACCCCTGTTCTAGAGAAACAATTCAAATAGACATCTTTCTGATACCTGATCAAAGAGCAGCAGAAACCTCTCTAACAGGAAACAGAGGACAGTGGAGGAGGACACAGCGAGGCTGCCCCTCAGCCAGAAACTGAATCTTCCACAGTCTGTGCTGGATGGAAGATGGCCCAAAGCCCCCAGAGCATTTCCTGTGGGAGTGGGAGGGACTCCACACCTATGTGCTCTGCTGCTAGTGTAGGTCGCTTAGCCAAATCTCCAAACAAGGGAGAGAGCAAAGGAAAATAATTTGAACAAAGGCTGCACTTTGTCTCACCTGAGCACCCCACAAGCTTGTCCTTGGCATTCTTTCAGGATCTAGAAAACTCGATAGAAGCCCAATAGCTCTCACAGGAAAATAAGTCTCAGATATAGTGGGAAGAATGTTGAAATGACAGTCAACCTATACATAAATCAGACCAAGTAGAACAAGAAAGATAAAAGGAAATGTCATGGTTACCATGAAAATACTTTCTAGCAATACAAGGGAAGAAAGGAAGTAAAACAGACCAATGAGTCCATCCTGGAGGGGAAAACGCTAATTCAAAGAAGAAAGGAAATAACTCATAATTGTTTCCTGACATGGAGTCAAATTTTCAAAACTATTCAGAGATGACATGCAAAAACAATAGAGTGAGAGGAGGAAAAGAGATTTCAGATCTCAGGGAAAAAAATATGAAGGACAAAGCAATATAGTACACAAATAAGAAATAGTAATAGGACAGAAACTATTAAAACTTGAATTGCTGACATAGAGGGAAATTATAATAGTGAATAAATGTGAAAAAGACAAAGAAATAAAAATAAACATAAAGAAATGCTAACATACATGGAAGATAAATTATCCAACATATGGACAACTGTATCCCTGAACAGAGATCACAATAGAAGAAGCAAAATATAAATTTAAATAAAAAAGAATTTTCCAGAAATAAAGTGAAAAAAAGGGGATCTCTAGATTAAAATGGTAGGAAATTTTTATGTAGAATGCAAACACCAAGATATATCCTAGCTAGGAAATACCTTTAAGGTTTAAAAAACAACTACCCAGGCATTCCGGGAGAAAATGAAAATCATCTTAAAGAAGAACAAAGTCAGACTAGCCTTAGACATCTCCATAGCAACATTCAACAAGCAATGCCATGGGGCAACATGGAAAAATCCCAAAACTTTTTAAAGGGGGGAAAAATAGTGATCCAGGATGGTAACACCGCCGAGATGCTCTTCAAATGTGAAGGCAACAGGCCAACGTCCCCCAACACGAACAATGGTGGAGACACCTATAGAAACACTTTGAAAAAAGTTGCTTGAATGTAAAGTCCAATCAATTAAGAGATAAATCAAAAAAACCCAGAAATAATAAAAAAGGGGCTGGGTCTGATCCTTGAATTTATTTAAATAGTAATGAATAGCTAAACTATTATAAGAATTATGGTTATTGAACAAAATGTGAATTTTATGAAGCTAGACGATGTAATAATAATAATATAACTGTGAACATTGGGAGCGGGAATAATGTCCTTATTTACAAAGCAGTGAGCCAGTACATACTACCTAAATTCAAAAAAGTCAATTAAAAAAAATTCAAAGTTCTTAATAATTTTTATAATATATATTTTTAATTTTAGAGGAGCCATTAAAAAATAATATTGCTTTCTGTTAAAGAATAGTTAATGGATAGACAGTCCTTCAGTTTTTTGGGGTTCTTTTTCACATCTTAAATTTAAGATGATAAAACCTTAAATGAAAGTATTTACTTCATATCTACCCATCTGTCCACTGTTCATCAACCTAACCACTCACATACATAAAAATAGAAAGATATTTATAATGATGCTCACCTACTTTTAATATGGGTCATTTCTGGATGTTGGGTTTTATGGTGAACTGAAAACATTGATTTTTGCATTAAAATTCTTTTTTTAAAATTTTTAAAAAATTCTTTATATTAACTATGTGTCATTTAAATAATACAAGAGTGTTTCTTTTTCTTATAAAAGAAGAAAATATACCAAGGTAATTTAATAATAGGTAGCATAAATACTACCTGACACCTTAGGATTCACAAACAGTAGTTGGAAATCTATCAAGTTGAAGTGAGAGTAAGGCAGACATTTTAGGGCAGGAAGCAGAGTTATTTCAGAAGTCAGCTGACAGTCTCAACTGGTGGGGGAGCCGTAGCAGAGGACGCTGCTGGTGAGCCTCTGCCTCCACACTCCACGTCTGCTGCCCTGTTCTCTTGTTCCCGTTCCGTTTTTCCCTGCATCTAACTTCTCCCTAGGAGACTTCTTTGTCATCTTAGCCTTGCACCCTCAGAGCACTATGCCGCTTTTTTTTTTGTTTGTTTTTCTTTTCTTTTAATAAGGAAACTTCTCAAGACAACACCCACATTGTGGTTTCACGCGAGGAGACTTGGGTAGAGGAACAGGCCAGTTTCTCATTTGGCTTGAAGTCTCCCAAAGCTAAAAGGCCCTGAAAATGTCCTTCACCCAAGGGCTACACCAGTGTTCTAAAGGCTCCTCACCTGCTTCCCAATGCCTGTAACTCTTCCCAGCACCGGCACACACTTGCTGCTTCGTCTCTGCCATCACCCTGTCCCTGGCCCCCAGGGGGCCTGCCCAGGAGGGAGCCTGTAGGCCTGTGCCCATTGCTGTGGAACCCACCCACCCCAGCACAGGGTCTCACTCCCACTCCACTCAGGAAAGTCAAGGTCTCCTTCCTTCTGATGCCGAAAGGCTCACGCACATGTGGGCAGCTCCCTACACAGCGCCGCCAACCAGTGGCTTTCATTTTTTAAATTAATCAAATCCTTCCTTCCCCTGCCAGCCTCCAATCTGTGACAGACTCTCTGCATGGTCAATAGATCAACCTGGGGCCCTACTGCAAGAGCTTGGCCTCCCCCTCTGGGACGTTGGGCTCCACTTGCCACATTCTAGTTCTACCCATCCCCCCTCCCCAGGTGCCATGGAAGGAGGACCTTGACAATGGACACATCAAGAACAGAACTCCATGTTTCCCCACATCCGGTTTACCTTTCTGCAGCGGGCTGGCCTTTCACCAGGCTGCCCGACGCGGTGTCCTTCACTCCCTCCTGCCTTGGCTCTTTCTCTTTCACCAGCCGCCCCCACGCACACCCACCCTCCACGCCTGCTGCCGCCTAGCGCTCCCCCTCTCCCTCCTTCAGCCCAGTTTTGGTATTTGTTGTCTACTTTCCAAGCTGCTGCTTCCATCACACCCATTCTTCTTTTCTGCCAACTGAATGAGGGGTTCATTTCTCAGTGGGGCACTCCAAGGCTGTCTACTGTGTGGCCAGAGCTGCCCACTGTGTGGCCAGAGCTGCCCAGGACAGCTTCACTTTTCTTGCTTCCCTGGCAGGTACCTGGGTTTAGTTAGTTGCACTCCTGGCTCCTACATCAGGTCCTCATTCTCCCCTTCATGACCAGAGTTTCTCTTGGTTTTTACCTGCCTGCCTAGAAACCCCGACGCCTGTGATGTGCTGCGATCTATTCCTCTCCCAAGGTCTGCGTCCTGGTCCTCTTTCCTCCACATAGTTGTTCTTCACTGAGGGCTTCTCAGTGTGCCCACACCCTTGGGGGCATACAATGTTCTCATCACCCTGTGAGATCCTGAAGCATGAAGCAGGCTCAGGAGGCAGAGCCCGCTCACCAAGGTGACAGAGCCAGCCAGTGGCTCCATAACAATCTCAGGTTTGTCCCAGAGCCTCACGCCTTTACTCGGACACCAGCCACCTGACAGTGTCTGGGCGGAGTGACAGGTACTGGTGGGGCTGTCTCTCACCTGCACTAAGTCAATGGCTCCTAGAGGAAAGGGTGGCCTCACAGCACCTGGTGCTACAAGCCCCATTGTCAGAAGAAAAATTTGCTGCATCCTGTCATTACTGGACACTTCTCCTCCCATTAACCCTTGTTAGTTCCCCATAAGGGAGGCATTATGAGTCATGTGAAAAATGAGGATTCAAAGCTTAGAGAGGCTGGTGAGATGCAGGTTGTCCTGTTGTGTGGTGCCCCTGACCCTATGGCCCCAACCCTGTGCGCACTGACCAGGCCACCCCCGAGGGGCTGTGTCCACAGGCAGATCACATTGGGGACCCCAGATGCTGCAAAATCACACCTGGCAGAAAAACTGGTGGGAAGAGTTTGGTTATTGGCCCTTATTGAAAAAGATCTAAGGTAATGAGAAAATATTAAGCTTACCAATTTGTTTTAAAATAAGATTTCTTCTACCCTCAACTAATTTCCACTTGTGTCTGAAATACCCACATAGTTGTGTTTTAAGAAACAGCAAACGTTTAACTCTTACCAAGAAATTTCTGAGGCATAGAGCTCTTACGTTTGGCGACGTTACTTGCTAGTCTGTCCAGCACGAGGGATCTCTCGGATCCTATCTTGCACAGATCTTCTGCCATTTCATTGTGATTAGTTTCTTCTTTAATGACTAAAGTCAAAGACAGTTAGAGAGGCCAGTTTAGAAACTTTTACGTTTAAAGGGTTTAGTTGAGTCCAATGTTATGTGTGACATTCGATAAGTGTCTACAAGAGCCAGCCCCTTTGTAGAGGTAGAGATCACCCCAATCTTCCTGACAATTCTGCCAGACAGAGAATGGTCACAGCAGTGCCAGGACTGGCCACCTACTGATGCTCCGTCCTCCAACACCTGCTAACCACAGATTCCCTGAGACCAAAAGAACAAGCACACCACTGTCGCCAGAGGCTGGAAGGGGATCACATAAGTATATCCCTTCAAGGGTTTTTTTAACTTCTCAGAATTGTCTCAAATACACTATCAGCCAATCCTAACATGAGCCGTCTGAGATGGAAGAAACTGTCAAATCTAGAAATGACTAGGGCTTTGGCTCCATCCACTACACAACCAACTGAGATGTAAAAACGTGGCCTTCAAGACCCTATAGCAATCTTGGCCATGTGGGGAAGGAACCCAGAGTTATCAATACTTATCCCCAAGCACATAACAACTCCTGAAAATCAAATAGTACCTCCTACTGTATAAGATTTAGAAGTTTCAGAGGTCTCTTTCTTTCCATAACTGAAGATATAACTTGGCACCCTGCACGATGTACTTTGAGTTCTGAAAGATGGAAATTTTGAAATACTTCTCTTTCATTTCTCTGCAAGTTATCCTAATATACAAGGAGCTGAAAATGCAAATCTATTGTCTTCCAAGTATCTTATCAGTTCTTACAGCACTGTTTCTTCCTTATGCTTTCTCCTTCCTCAGGAATCACGTGCTGAGCTCTCCAGGGTCTCTGTGAGTTTATCCTTTCCACTGCTGATCTGTTTGCCTATTCTTCCAAAGGTTACATCCACTCCAGCTGTGTTTTCATACAGTGCTAGACATGACTCTTCTTTTTGAAAAAGTTGCCAATTCTCTTATTTATTTATCCAGATATACTTTACAATGCATACATGTATATGGTTACCAAATTCCAATAACATTTACAAGACAATTTTATGTTGAATCTGTGCCCCAAATCAAGATCTGGGGAGAGGTACGTGGACAGGGTCCAGACTTCCGTCCCTCTTCAATCTTCCAGGGTCTGATAGTTTTCTTCAGTATGGCCTGCACATCACCTGCTAAGATGATTTCTAAGTAGTTTATGTCTTCATTTCTATTATGAAAGCCACCCTGAAAACATATATTTCAAATTGGCTATGATTGCTGATGTTTTATATTTTAACATCGGACTTATGTGTTTCGCATTAAATGGGCAAAAATATGTAGCCCACATCTCGATTTATATGCAAGAGAAACATAAATCCATAAAACCCAACTTGCTAATCATACACTTTATGGATCAAGCTAGATCTCAGCTTCCTGACATGCCCTTCTTCTCTGCAAAGCAAGGCCCAAGGCCTTGGGGTCAAGCAGGGTTTCCTCTACCCCCTTCCCAGGGCCTCCCAGGAATCTCAGTTGCCAGAGTGGATCACAGTGGAGCAAAGGAGCCCACAGCTCCCAAATCACTGGCCATTCTGTGGTCCAGACGCACGTACCTCTGAGGGCTTGGGACACAGTTTGTGTACCTAAGGCTCAAGAGAAACATTTCTTTTTTATGTAAAGACATTAAGAACGGGTGACCAAAAGCCTTTTACTAAGGAAAAAATATATCCAGGAAAATTAAGCTTTTCTACATCTTCTAAGCTAGGCTTTATTTTAACCTAGTGGGTCCAAACTAAGGAGGTTTGGGGAGGAAAGAGGCTATACCACTGTCCACCTAAGCATGGACAAGAGCTGTCTCTGAGGGAGGGACAGGAAAGGGGAGATGCCCAAAGAGGTCAGCTTTGGCTGTTGGTCACTATCAGCCCTGGCTGTGGTGACCAACATGCCCCCATGCCAGCCCCAGAGCTCCTGCTGCCCCGTCAGCCCAAATACAGTCTAGGGAGACTTCCACTGAAGTCCTTTTGTGGGTCCCCTCAATACCCCAAGCTCTTTAGACAAGCACTTCCTGCACACTTAGAAGGGCAAGAGGCTGGCAAGGGGAAACTAAAAGAGATACCTTGTAGGTATCTCTGTCTAAAGATTGTTATGCTCATTTTGCACATCTTGATACAAGGCAACAGGATTAAATGCCAGGCTGCCTGGCTCTGTCTGTGGCCACACTGAGGTCGGATGATTGCTCCTCACCTCCTGGGTACAGGAACATGAAGGCATCCCTGTCGTATCCCAACAACTTGAGCACCACAGGAAATAAATTAACATTTTAGGGTCAAACTGATTGTCACCACAGGTACTTTAATATCCAGTACGTAATACTGGCACATGAGTTTACTGATGCAGATGCCGACAGAGGATGCTGAGGTTGAAGGTGTCAGCACGTCTGTGCCCTAAACATCTGTCCTCAGGTGGGGCTCCGGATCACACCGTTCATTCCCACATGTCTGGCTCAGGGCGCTGCTGTGAGGGGCCAGGCAGGACTTCCCACTCACGCTGAAGTAACCAGCCTGGGTCACATTCAGTGAAACTCAAACTTAAGCCTCAGTGGAAGGGGCACTGGTCCTCCTCCTCCCCGGCAGGAGCTCGCCGACCTCACAGTTGGTTTCTTTAGTTATTAAAACACTGGAGGAAACAAGACAACCAGTGGTCGGTTTCTTTGTTTTGTCTTCCTAATCCCAAGTGTGTATCAGATTCAGTAGGCCGTGGTGCTGTCAACTGTGAGTCCTCAATAAGTATGTGTTTAGTACAGAAAATGGCTTATTAAGCATTGATATGTAAATTACATCATTAGGAAAGCTTACTTCCAAGACCTATTCATTTATTTTTTAACAGAAAAATCCAACATTTGAGTGTTCACATTTTATTTCAAAGGAATAAAATCATCCTTTCATCCCTCATCCTCCTGCTATGGAGTCTGGCTACAGGTTTATAACTCCTAAATTGTATTATTATTACTATAATTATTATTTTAATATCCAATTTCTCCTCTTCCACCCACCCTGAATACCTTCCATTCTAGATCTGAGACTTTGAAAGAACTTAAATGATAATTTAATAGACTTTGTCCATTTCACAGGTGAGAAGATTAAGGCTCAGAGAGGGCCCTTGTGTGAGCCCTGGGTCCTAGGCTGATCAGTAGCAGGGACGCAGGAGGACTGCAGAGCTTGTGACATGTGGCATGTTGCCTCTGGATGTGAAGACTAATCTGAATCAGTTTTTAGGCCTTCATCCTGAATAATTCTTTTCTCCTGCTCTCATCTGCCACTGATAATCTGAGTGTACTCTGGAGAATTTTCCTTTATAAACCATTTCTTAAAGTCAGAATGTTGAGTGAGACTTAATAAATTCTCCATCACTAATTTAGTTTCTCTCATCCAGTGCAATGATTTTTCCAGGGGTAGTGCTAAGTGAATAGTGCTGTGAAAGAGATTTGCTTCGCTTGATCTATGTTTAAATTTCTCATCTCCTAAAAGTTAGGAAGGAACCTTTGATAATAACACTGCCATCGCCTGCGTGAATTTGGCCTTTGCTGGTGCTCTCTGTACACTCTTCCCTTACACTATCTAGGGACAAGGTCAAGGGCCATCTTGTCACACAACACACAGGGAAGCATCACAGCTCCCAAGAATGGAAAGACTTTCCTCTAATCCTCTCACAACCTCAACACCATCAAGTTCTGGGGTCTTTCAACAAACTTGGGCCTCACATTCCAGGCAGCTGTGGATACTGTGCCCTGGATCTGAACTGATGATTGAAATCACAGCATAAAAGTTTTACTTGATCAGCTTTGAAAAAACAGTTGTAAAACAAGATTTCAGATTTTATTTTATTAAGCACAAAGAATCACTACTGGAGGCTTTAAGAAAAAGAAAAAGAAAAAACACACCAGCATCCAAAAAACAAAGCAAAAAATTTTCAGGGTCCCTCCTGCCTGTCTTAGGCGCTTCTCTGGATAGGAAGGGGGGGTGCTGAAAATCAGGCTCTCTCAGGTCACATGGGGACCTAGAAGGTTGGGATGCACAATGTGCTCCCGAGAAACTGCGATGTCATCACAGCCATGGTGGGCAGCAGGCCGGGCTCTGCTCCTGGCCGGCTGGGAGACGCTGGGCGGCCTGAGCGAGCCTCTGCGCGCGCTTACCTGGGTACAGCGTGCCCGGAAGGCCCATGCTTTCCAAGTAGTTGTGGCAGCGCTCTTTATGTTCCTCTAAAGAGCTTCGCTGTTTATAGCTTCGGCCACAGTATCCACATTTGTGAGGTTTACCAACTGCAGGAAACACAATTGAGTTCAAGACCCCAATTAAATGTCGGCCTTATGTGTAATGGGAATGCATGCAATACAATTATTACCAAAAAAGGAAAAAAAAGTTCTACTCTTGAGAGCTAAAAGCAATATGGACTTGGTCAAAATTACTGAATTTGAAAATGTTAATGCTCAAGGGTTTGATTGTACCAAGAACTCATGTGATTGTCATTTCATCTTCATGTGTCCTCTGTGCAGACGACCAAACTGTCTCCTTTTTAAACCATGGAGGTCTGTCCTTAGGCTGGAGGAAGGGAACCACCACAGTGTTATGTAAAGCTGCACAGAGACATCAGGAAGGCCCTCGGGCCAGCTGGATAATCAGCAGATTCCCCTCCTGGGGAGGCCTCTCAGTGTGCTGTGAGCCACATGTGGCCTGATCTGATGTTACACTGAATGCAACCGGAGTGAGCTCAATTCCAGGTGCTAAACTGGATAATCTGAGTCTCTAAGGAACCATGGTGGACAATTATGCCTTAATAAAATAAGCATTTTATTTCTAAAAAGTATTAGAAATAGTCTGTATAATGCATTTCCACTAACATGGGGCATACACTATGAACACTTCACAAATCAAGCTTACAGAAAAGCTCTGTTTTCTGCCCAGAGAAATCCAGGATGGCACAGCTTCTAGATCAGCCTTGCCCAACAGCACTTACGATAATGATGGAAAGGTCTCTGCCTGTGCTGTCTAATGCGGCAGCCACCAGCCACATGTGGCTAGTGAGCACTCAAGTGTGGCTAGTGCCACTGAAGAAGGAAGTTTTAATTTTGATTTAAATTTACCAAAAATTAAAATTAAAATACCCCATACAACTAGTGGCTATGGTTTTGGGCACTGTGATTCTACACAGTGAGTTTAGCCCTTCCTGAATTTTAAATACCACCTGGAGTAGTATTTTAGAAAAAGCCCACTAGCCAGCAACCTCAACCAGGCCTCAGTTTAAAGACTTCAATAGATACCATTTTCAGAGCTAAAAAATATCTTCAATCACTTATATAAGGAATATACATTTTCACCCTAAAACCTGAATCTTTTACTTCTTTCTCATACTGTTTTATTTCACATATTTCAAAGTAGTGTGTACAAATTAAAACCATCCAAACCAACCAAATAGGAATGTTTGGTTAAATCTACTTCCTCGGTGAGTAGAAGCTATGGTTTAAGAAGACTAAAATGAAAACCAAAATGTGACTTCTGGAAAAGTTAATAGAGAAAGAAAAAGATTTTTCTTTATCTATAGAAAGTGATGTTCCCCCAAACACCAGGAAATAATGTTGAAATACAGAATATTGCCCCAAATTACATATTCTAGTGGGTACTGTTTTTAGAAATTAATAGAATACAGATAAGCACTCAATGTCCCTTCCTGAAAAAGCTCTAACTTTAGTAAATTCCAAGATCAAAACTGCTTTCTAGAAATACGGCATGGTGTCAGATGTCCATTTTTCTGAGTATATGGTTAGTTTTAACTTTGGAATATAAGAAATATGTTCACTGTAAGCAGCAGAACTAAAGTCTGTCTTGATGCATAACCTAATATTCTGCAGGAAAGCAGTCTCAAAGCAAGCTCACAACTTCCTAAAAAAGCCACGAGGAAGAAAGAGGGACTAGGGGGCTGTGGTGGGATAGAATGTGGCCTCATCTGAGTAGGCCAGACACAGGCTAACATCTTTATTTCCCTCTGAAATCATTTTGAAGGACCTAAGCTGCTTTTTAGAGGGAGTTGTGCGTGTGTCAATGGCACTTTCAGACACCCAGGTCACCAGCAGTCCGGGATCAATGAAGGTTTTCTCCACTTGCTCTTGGGTGGATCCATAAGAGAAATAAACTGCCCAAAGTCTACCACCTGATACATATAATTACCCTGGTACACACCATGCCCCAAGCCGGCCGGACGAATAAGCATGGAGCCAGAGTAGCAGAGAGCCCTGCCCGGGTGCTCCAGCTGTACCAGGGTAGGGCAGAGCAGCCTTGCTGTCACTCTGAAGGACTGGTGTGCAGAAGGGGTCTATACTGCAAATGAGAGTGTCCTGGGGATGATGTTGCCCCGGGCAGGTGTCAACCTAAGAATGAGTATTTGTCTTGTCTACTGACTTGGGAAGCTGTGCTTCTTCTAACTGCAATGTTGCTGCCCATGGTGCCTGTGTCTGCGTGACTCCTTAGAAATGACAGATGTGAAGACTTTCCTGGACTGCCCCTCAGTGTGGCACACTGACTTTACAGCATTCACAGCACAGGCCCACGTGCCTCCAGGTGGGACCGTCACACACGTTCACCACACATGTCAACACTTTGTCTCACTGAGTCATGCTGTCATCCTCCCATCTTGGGGGGGGGTGCCCTGCAGCTTGTCCTTCCTGGGCACTGGTGTGGTCCCTGCCTGGTCACCCCTGTAACCTGCCTGCATTATGGGGCCAGCAACTCCTCAACTTCCTACAACTCCTCTCTTGGGAGGTTTTATGAAGCTCACCCCAAACATCACAATTTTCTGATCAAGAGCACTGGGGGCCTCCCCCATGCTCACCATCAGGAGGGAAGGTGGGATGGGAGGACACAGCTGAGGGCCCCTGTGACTCCTTGCCCTCTTGCCCCCAGTCTCTTGGTGAGCTCCTGCGGGTTCCCCTCACCAGGAGAAAGGCCAAGTGCTGACAGCACTTGCTAAAACAGCACCACGTCCCCTTCCAGCACCACTGCTGAATCACTCAGATGTGGATTTCTTTAAAGCAAAGCTTAGAAACTCACCTGCAGGCATGCACTCAAGCCCTCCTCCTACAAAAGCTCTCCTGACCCTCCACCTGGGGACCAGCCATCCCTCAGACACTCTGCCACGCTTGCCTCCACATACGGGTGCTTTCCTCATGTGCACTCACTATCGCCCCGTGGAGCACACCACCAGTTAGTGTGTGATAAAGAGATGGACGCAGGGAGACGCCCCCAAGACCCCCAGCCATTACAACCACTGATCACTTCTGGGAAGAGGTGCCTGGGCCCCTGCACACCTCTCACAAAGACCACAATCCTCCCCTTGGTGGGGGAGGCTGCTCCTTGTCTTGCTACCTGGGGATGGAGGGAGGGGCTGGTCTGAAGCAGCCCCTCACCCACAGCACCTGCCCAGACCAGGTGGCTGACGAGAAATGGCTGGGAGCTGGAGGCTCTCTGAGGGCAGGGACAAGGGCCACCACTCTCCTGCCCCCCCAGCCTCCAGCTGTTCCCTATGCCAGATGTCCCTGACTGGATCATGTCCAGGAAACCCACTCATGTCACGCTGTGCAGATTCTACTGTAGGCAAGCGTGACACAGGAGGGGCTGGCCAAGAGCCATTTCTTCCATGGGCTCCTGGACACCGACACAGGCAAAGGTGTCTCAGAAGGCGGAGCAGCTAATCTAACTGAAGGTGGAGTTGAGCTTCCCAGGTTGGGATGTGTTGAGAATGCTGGAACTAATGCTAATGATGCTCTGGCTGAGACTGTGGGTTACCCAGGACGGCTCTACCTACTTCCCTCAGAGATACTCTGCCTAAAACCTGGTCGCATCTCCACACTGGGCTCTCACCAGGAGGCCCCATCTGGTTTCTGGCAGGAGACTCACACTGGAATCATGCCGGGTGGGTGTGCCCTAAATCACCTTTGTCTATCACCTCTGCAACTGTCATTGCTACTAAAATACCCTGGGTAACACGTGGTAAGTGTGACTTAACAAGCAGCATAAAGAAAGATATCTGAAAAACTTCGGCATCACCAAAGTGTGGCTGACAAAATCCTTTACGAAGACCTCACTGACAAAATGGGATGAGGCGGCAGCTTCTGCAACACAGTATCTGAGGGCGAGACTTCTGCGTGCGTGTGCGTGTGCGTGCAGTGCGTGTGCGTGCACGTCCCCACCCACTCCTCCAGTTCAGTGGGAAAAGAAGAATACGGGGCATGAAGGGGGACTGGTGCCAAGGTGGTGCTGGCCGACACCCAGCAGAGGACTGTGCGCGGCCTGGCCCTGGGGCCGGCTAGGACGCGACCCTGTGCGGCCACAGGCGAGGGTGGCGCCCGGGGACCTACCGGAGTGCGTCCTCAGGTGGCCCGTGAGCGCATCCCTCCGGCGGCAGGCGTAGTTGCAGAGGTGGCACTTGAAGGGCTTCTCCCCGGAGTGCAGCTTGATGTGCCGCAGCAGGTTGCCCTTCTGGGTGAAGGAGGCTCCGCACTGATTGCACTGGAAGGGCCGCTCCCCTGGGACGGAGAGAGGACAGCAGTGAGAGCAAAACTCCAGCGGGGACGAGAGGACAACGCCACCAGAAAGTTGTTTCCCACAGGGGCCTGGTGACTTCCACCGGCTGCAGGTTTGATAGAACATGAGGCTTTCAGACTAAACCTGCCAGCTCCTTAACGCTTCACTGGCTGGGTCAATTTGATCTGAAAATCTAATTTTTTTCCCCTAAATCAGAATGGCACATCACAATGCAAATTCAAACTCATTTAAATAAAGTGACTGCAACATTTTGTGATGAAGAGCCACTCTTCCTGATCAGCAGTTTTGGAATAAACCAATATCCAATTTTGCGTGTTGTGGCATTTGGTGGGGTTTTTAATGTGGCTTTTTTCAAAGGGTCTTTAAAATATGCCACTGAAGCAGCAAAATAAAAAGGAAACTCATTAAAAATGCATTTCAGGATCACAAGTTCATTTCAGCGTTACATTCTTATATTTAAATGAAAGGCACTTCATTATAACAGTTATAATAACTTCTTTTCATTTACATTTTCCCTGTATTTTCCCTTTCAATTTCTTCTCCATTACCTGTCTGTCCCTAAGCAGGCAAATCAGGAGAGAGAGAGACAGAGTGTGAGGATGAGAGAGAGAGAGAGAGGGAGGGAGAGATATGAAGAAAGATCGAATGAAATGAGAAGTTAAGGAGAGAAGAAAGCCCCCTACCTCCCAAAGAAAAGTCCCAGGTCTCCCCGGGCAGGGTGTAGAGACAGAGGTGCACTGAGATTTCCTGCACTTTTCTTTCTCCACAAATCTTTAAGCATTTAAGCTGTTTTTGGTCTGTATCCACAGCAGACAAGTCATCTGCTAAATACAGATCTTCTAGGGAATACAATTTAGTTGCTATTAAGGAATTCTTTCAGGAGTTGGACTAATGAATTTGTAGGCCCAGGTGTGGCCCTACTTATATTTACATTCTGGATCTGAAAAGGGATAAGCAGGCATTTGAGAAAAAGAAATATGCTAGTGTCCTTTTTAGTCACAGGTCTTGGAATCAAATTCGTTGAATGTTTTATTTAACTCTTATTTAAAAGAGTGAGAAACTTGGAAGCAAATATAACAGCTCCTTTGAAACAGAAATGGTTTATTCAGAAGAAGAGTCCAATGTGACCACCATTCTTAGTGTTGAGATATCCTAAAAATGCATTTCCTAGGGACAATTTTTTTTCTTAGGAAAAGAGAAAAACATTTTTAAATGGCTATTTAACCATTTTCCCAATTGGCGAAGGTAATTATGGTGAAGAAGACAGCATATACCGGTAACAGTTGAGTGTAAGTCTATATGTGGTACTGTTAGAGTCCACACCAGATTAAATCTACAAGTCTACACTGGCACTTGAATTTCATGATTGTCATCATTTTTAGTGGGCACAGCAGATGCGCTGCTATAAATGCTGAAACTAACTCATGGTGAGACTCGATTATAAGCCAATTGAAAGTGTTCTGATCCTAAGTGGGGTGTCGTGGGCATTTCCCCAGATCTCTTTCTGGATCAGTCCTGGCTGAAAAGAGAAAAGGTTTAAGGTCAAGCAGGTGAGAGAAAAACTCACTCATTCTTTGAGTTACAATTTTGGATGGGAGATTTAAAATGGCCAGTAGCCAAGTAGCCCTGAGGAGCTCCCAAGAAAGAAAGGCCATTTCATTATCTGTTAGAAACACGCTGGGCCTTCATCACACGTGTGCGTGATGTATGAGTTTAACTCCGAATGGACGGCCGGGAAAGGCAGAGGCCCTGGGGCAGGGAGCCCGGACAGGGTGAGATGGACACACCTCCAACCACAGCTGTCATTGGGCCAGGCTGTGTGGGAGAGCTCGTGTCATAACAAGGATGTGGGTACACTCCTGGTGACAAAACTGTGTGGGGTAATAATGCCAAGCTAGCAAATTCAACCCTCTGCCTGTATCACCAGAAAAGCATTTCCTGCCTTGTCAAGGTCCTGTGCTCCTCCCCAGGTGTGAAGGGTGCAGGGGAAACACGGGTCGGCTGGAGACAGAAAGGACAGGTCATACAGCCAAGCTGCACTTCTGAAGAGCAGGGCAAGGCAGGCGGGCTCCACACCCCTGCCGTGCCTGGTGTCTTAATCCCTGTGGGCACACACTTCCCACGGGATGCCTCTTTGTTTCTGAAGGGCTGTGTGGCACAGGGCCTGGGGGCTTGGAGAGAGTATTCAGACTGCCCCACTCAAGAAAGGCTCCCCCTGGACATGTTAGCAGGTGAGGGGACGTGCCCTCTGAGGGGTCAGAGAGTGCAGCCCTGTCACTGGGTGTTCTTGTGTGGCAAGGGCCATCACTTGTTCATGTAGCTAAGTAGATCAAAATTCTCTAAGGTTGCCTTCACCTTTATTTAACTGAGATGAGGACTTGGATATCATGATTTCAAGATTTAGTTTTTCATTGAAGTGACTATAGCTCTCCCATGTAGGGACCCTCAGTAAGAACGTGTGAGCCCTTTTTAGTAACTTGATTGGAAAAAAAAAAGTTTTCATGGATGCTTATGCTACAGAATTTTTGAGGGCACATCAGGGCACGGTGAACTAAAAAATTGGTCTGAACTGCGAGAACTGACCTGGGCCTGCCGTGGCCACACCTCGCAGCAGTGTGAGAATCAGAGCTCTACTCAGGAAGCTCTGGGACTGAGCCTTTTTACCTCACAGATGGGAACAGAACAGGTGCGATCCCATACAGGATGACCAAAAACTCAGACACTCCTTGGTCTTTATTATGAAAACTCCCCCTCACTTAGAATAATCATCCCCGGCTTCCCTCCTACTTCTCCCCCTCAGATCCTCACGCTAGCTGGCAGATGTCGGCAGGGAAGGCATCACGCCTGAGTCCAAAATATGAACCGATCAGCAAAACGGGACACAAAGGGTTAGTGCCAAGAAACCACGTACCAATGGCACCAGTGGTATCTCACCAAGGCACTGATGTGGCAGAGGCGAGGTTCACCCGGGAGATGTCCCAGAGAAGTCCCTGCTTGGTTCAGTCATGGGCAGGAGGAAGAGGGCTGTGGTGCAGGTTCTGGCCTGTCCCGTGGGGAATCACATGGCACCTGAGCCCCCAAATGGCTCTGTCTGCTGTCCACCCAGCTGCACATGCTCTGTGGGGGATGCTCTGGGAGCCCCAGGGTCTGACTCCGAGTCTGCACGTTCACAAACTCTTCAATGTTTTCTATGCCCTTTGATACATTTGAGAAGCGCTGCTCTAGAAATGCTTTATACTCGGAGTGTCCAGAAGCCTTTTCTAACGTTCGCTCAGATCCCAGGAAAATGAAAGCCTTTCCAACACAGGCAGTTGTTCAGCCCTCATTCGGCCAAAGCAGGTATTTCTTTATCAACCTGTGACCCTCTGGATTTTTTTGCAAATGGAAATGCGTGATGAAGATAATCCACGAGTTCATTGTTTCAGGTGTTTCATTTTTCTTCTAAATTAAGGTCAGGGCAGGAACTATGAAATCAGTATCTGGGAGTCATGTGTTCTGCAAGTGGAAAGCTCAGGGTGCTGGTGTTTACGTGGGACCTTGCTGCTACTTGTTGGGAGGAATGAGTGGTAAGTAGCAGGTGTAACCTGCATGCCTGTTTCTGGCAGGTTTATTCATTAAATGTAATTATCCTTTTATCAAGGCAGGCAGTCATTATATTTTGGCAATTTAGTATGCCAGGATTTGATTCACTTATCAAATATGTATTTAAGAGCGTTTTCACTGTACAGTCAGGCTCTACGTGAATGAGCAGCAACAGATGCTTTTGTAAGGCCTGTTCCCTGGTCCCAGAGGATCCCAGCAGGTGTCTGTCAGGAGTAACCCACCCGTGGCCACTTCACACAGAAGGGGAGATGGGACCACTGCCAGCTCGCTTCACTCAGGGCTGGATGCGATGGGTCTGTCTCACTGGGCAATTTGAACATTGGGGACCCAATAGGAAGAGCAAAGTTTGCTAAAATTTAGAAGTTGAAGTTTTATTGAAGATGGGTACCTACTGACAACTCAGATTTTCTAGGTATACGGTAAGTATAAAACATCGTTTGGCAGTACTGCCCTGACTCAAATGTGAAGTCACATTCCTACAGATATCTGTATTTTCTCATAACTCAGCTCCTTCTTTTCTCAGCAAATTTTCTGAATTCCTGCTTAATTTTTGATAAACATCTATTCTTTGGGCCCCGTGGAAGCAGCACCCGAGTCGTGTGTGGTTCTCGAGTCGTCACCCTCACCTTCAGATGCCTTGGAGGATCTGCTAGGTCTCTGGAGGGCACCTTTGATCTCCCTCTCTCTCGTTTTTTCCTCCTCCTGGAGAAAGGACTGGCAGACACTAGCTTTACACTGTCCTGGCAGTGCCACCTCATAGGGAGTGGTGGCTTTGGGCCTCTATGTTTTAAGTCCCAGCTTTCAGTGCCCATAGAATTGGTGGAGTTACTGTGTTTCGCCCACCTTGAGGGCAGCTTCCCAGGTAAACACAAGTTTCTGTTCAATTCAAAAGAAACCTGTCTCTAGCTAAAGGTAAATTGTGTGCCATGAATATTTTATTTCCAAGACTCTTTAGCACCATTAGTGGTGGTGCCTCAACAGTTCTGTTGGACAAGTCTGTGACTGCTCAATCAATATGACTACTAGAGACATGGGGAGCGGGGCAGGACGTGGCCACCTGAGGCTCTGAGCTGAGCAGTTTCCCACAGCCCCTGGTGAGAGAGCAGCCTGTGAGGCTGGATTGCCCGTGTTCCTTTTTCTTCTTCTTTTTTTTTTCTTTAGAGACAGAGTCTCATTTTATTGCCCTGGGTGGAGTGCCATGGCGTCACAGCTCACAGCAACCTCTAACTCCTGGGCTTAGGCAATTCTCTTGCCTCAGTCTCCTGCGTGGCTGGGACTACAGGTGCTGGCCACAATGCCCGGCTATTTTTTGTTGCAGTTTGGACAGGGCTGGGTTTGAACCTGCCACCCTCGGTATATGGGGCTGGCGCCCTGCCCACTGAGCCACAGGTACTGCCCCATGTTCCTTTTTTTTTTTTAATAGGGAATATTATATTGTATTATAATTTGAAAACCTTCAATAAATAGTTGAAAAAGACAGGGGTTTCAGCAAGAATTTTTTTTTTCCCAATTTAAGGTGAAAATTAGTGGCAACAAAACTAACTGACCAAGGCCTCCCCTGGGAGAGGGTGAGTCATTTGAAAGCTCATCTGCTCTCTCTGTTCTCTCTGAAAAACTGGGTGCTGCTGCTATTCTACCCTTCACTACGGTTTCTAAAAATCAGGCCTTGTTAATTTGAATACAATTAAATACATACATCACTCATGGCTTCTCAGTGGGAAATCCCATGGATAAGTTTTGGGGTTGTCATCGATGTTCTTCATGTTGTTAAGGCTGGACCACCCGGCACATGCACCCTGGGGGTGCAGACGGGACTCTGTGGCGGGTAGTAGTGTTGGAGCCGCCCTTGATGGACCTCAGGCTGTTCACTTTGCCCTTGTGTTATTTACAGGGTCGGACTGGTATGTGTTAAGTCCTTTTAAATGTTGTTCCAGAATCAGAACACTACATACACCCATCTGGGACACCTGTGCTGCCCAGCCATTTGCAACACATTCCAAACCCTCCAGGAAGACGCCATGCTTTCTTCCTTCAACACCCCATGACCTTCTCCAGGCCACTAAAGGAAAAACTGCTCCAGGCCTTACCAGTGTGGCTTCTTTTGTGAACCATGAGCACATTGGGCCCGATGCAAATGATCCCACAGATATCACACTTTAGTTTGCCGTTAGGAAGTCGAATGCCTCCAACTCCTGACAAAGCCGCGCCGCCTTGGTCCCTGTGGGAGCCATTCATTTTCTCTCCTGAGGCATCAAGCATTCGTAAATCCTCCGCACATTCTTCCCCATTCATTTCACAGGCACGCCCATTCTCTTCATCACTCTGAGTCTCTACTTTAACATTACTGGCTGAAAGAAACAACACAGGAGGCCACTCAGTGTCATTGCAGGAAAAAAAACCACAACAAAACATCAGCAAAAAGACAATCGCATTGACCGAGAGGGCCAGTAAACAGATGTTGTTGGCATGTATGTACCAGCGGAGAGCAGCCCGAGGCCCAGGGGTTCAGCTGGGAGCGAGTGGGTCACAGGGAGGGCCCAAGTGGTGAGTGTCTGAAAGCACACTTTGGAGTTGGCCCTCACTTTGAGCAGGTTAAGATCTCTGAGTCCACAGCCTTGTGGAAGCTCAGGAGTCGTCTGGGGGCAGGTCCTACCCCTTTGCCATGTGAGCTCTTGGCCCCAGGAGGGGAGTATCTGTGGGTCACACAATCCACCTCACTAGGATGTGTGAGCCTAAGAGGTGGTTTTAACTCTGAAAAATTTCTCTTACTCATGGTGCTACCTTTTCTCATTTCAAGTAAATAGTGATGAACTTTGGGACAAAATTCAGAAGACACACTCAGAGTTCTAACCACAGATCTCTTTCAGATTCCTGGAAGACTTTTCTGTTTCTTTGGTATGTGATTGTTCTAATTCCTTTTTATCTTACAATGACGTAAATGAATCCCATGTTCTCAAGTAGAGGTGTCATTTCTTATGTTTCTTCCACTTCTTGAAGGGTTAATGGAGAAAGTTTATGACTCTAAAGTTTCTGGAAGAGTTTCTTAAGAAGAAAGATGCTTGTGTGTGTGGGGGGGGGACTGCTGATGTCATGAGACACAGTCCCCACTGTTTACTTGGCACCACTGTCCACTTTAAGTCACAAGGAGGCTAATGTCATTTGCATATTTTTCTTCCATAAAGAAAATAAGGGATGTTTGGTTTGCATGCCTCTGACTGATGATGAGTTGACTCTAACGCTGGAAGGGCTAGGAGAGCTTGTAGTTATGTGAAAACCATTTTAATTTTTGTTTTTACAGACTTAAAAGGGGAGGTAGATGAATACTGCCAAGTAAAATAATTAACGAAATAGATTATAATCAAAACTGCATAATTTTTGATCAATACTTTTTAATCCATGGTTCTCAATGTTTGGTCTTGGTGGTGACGGGTAGGGAGGAGGGAGTAGTATCAGTGTCACCTGAGAATTAGCTAGACAGTCAGACTGTTGGGTCCACTCAAGGCCTACTGACTGAGAAATCCTGGGTCAGTCTGGGTTGTCACATTGTCACGAACCCTCCAGGGGATTCTAATGTACACTCAAGACTGAGAACAACTTTTTAAATAATAAACTTTTGTTAACAACACTCTGGATTTATTTTGTTCAACAAGTTTCTCTTACTTGGAGATCTAGAATCCAGACACCAAAATCACAGTACCTGGTCTGGAATCTCAGCCTACTCTCTAAAAGCTCTGAGGTCTGAGGCAAGTTCTGCAACTTCTCTGTGCCTTGATTTCCTCATCTGTGGACACCGAGAACTATCACAGCACTGGTCTGTCATCATTAACAGGTGGGAAGTCAGCTGAGTCAGTTGACTGGCGCTGGGCAGGGGAGCCACACCCGGGAGTGAAGCTCAGCCTGGCCCAGTCCCACATGCCAGGATGCAGCAGCAAACTGCACCCTGTGATTCACCCTTCATAATAACTTCATGAATGAAGTGCTATTATTATCATCCCATTTTACAGTTGAGGAAGCTGAGGCACAGACAGGTTAAGCAACTTTCTAAGGTCACAGAGCTAGCAAGTGACAGTGCTGGGAGGAAGTGACAGGAAGCCCAATTCCAGTTCCCACATTCCTAATCATCCTAGAGATGTCCCTGAGTATCCACAGGGCACTGGTTCCAGGACCCCATAGATACTAAATCTATGGATGCTCAAGTCCCATAGTTGTCCCTATGGAATCTGCAAATAGGAAAAGTCTTCCCTCCATATTTGAGGGTTCTATGTCCTGCAAATACTGTATTTTCAACTAAGTCACAGTTAACTCAAATCCACAAATACAGAGCCCACAGATGCAAAAGGCTGCCTGCCTGCCTGATAGTGTTTTCCTGTTAGCTCTTCAGAGGAAAGACTTATAGACAATTAAGGGAATGAAACAAATTAACTGGGACCTGGGCCACTGCTGCAATGGTGAATTTTAGGAACCCAGAAGTGAGGGTATACCTCTGGCCTGCACTGTTACCTGTCTCTTCCCCTCAAATCCTGGCATCATGTTAGGCTGTTCTGAGAAACCCAGCAGTAGGGACTCTTCCCTGCAAGACCTGAAGATCAAAGACTCAGAGTGCCAGGCATCTGAGTGGCCTTCTGCTAGCCTCTCCCATCTGCCAGAGACCAGCCATGTGGCAAGTAAAGGAGACAGGCAGAGAGGTGAGGCAGGCTGGCTGGTCAGGTGATGGCACTTAATTATTGCTGAGTTCACTAGAATCCATGTTTTCAGGGGAGGTTCGTGTCTTTTGGGGTGGAAGTGAATTCACCAGGCCCTCACTGCTCACTGGTGTCTGTACCAGCCTGCTCTGGAAATAGATAAAGCAGCAAAGATCTGTGTACTCCTTAACCTGAGAGTAATTCTAATCATTCACCTCTGGTTTTTAAAATGAGACTGGGGCCTTCTGGAACACAGTGGAGAAAATTATGAATCCATAGAAGCTAACACATGGCTATAGAAATGGTGTATCCAAGGGTGTCCAATCTGCGGCTGGTGGGCCACATGCTCATTTTGTGAGGCCCTTTTCTGCTTATCTGTGGTGTCCAATATCATGAAAAGTGTGCATGAACCTTCTTTGTGTTCTTTTTGCTTATCATCTTCTGTTACTGTTTGTGTATTTAACGTGTGGCCCAGGACAACGCTTCCTCTCCCAATGTGCAGCAGAAAAAACAAAAGGTTGGACACCCCCTTAAGTTGACAAAGGACAACACGCAGAACAGGCGTGTTGGGATGAGCCCCTGGCACATTCCCCTACTCATCCTGACTCTGCAAATTCAGAGGCAACAGCTACAGAGAATTGATGCTTAGTTTCCCAAGGACACATTGTAGTGAGTGACCTATTAGGACTTGCCAGAAGTTAGGGTTCACGCTTCTGCATTATCAAGAAAGAACAGCAAGTATTTCTGGGATGCTTGGTGTGCTCCGTAGTTCGTGCTGTTGACTGCTGGGTTTCTGACAGGAGGGGCACACATTCTCTACCGCAGGCTGGGAGGGATTTGAGACCAGCCACTCATTCAACTAGTGGTGTGTCTCATTATCCTACCTGAGACTGAGAGATGTCACAGAAGGACAGGGAGAGACTCAAAAGGCATGAGAGTATATCACAAATTATCCTGAGATTATTTTGGATACTCCAGTACAATTTTAGGTAAAAATATAGAAAAACGATTAAGTATGAGATTGTGAAAGATGAACAGGTGTAAGGGAGAAAGATGGATAGGTGTAAGAATGTGAAAGATGGACAGATGTAAGCATGTAACATGGATA